CATTAATGATAATTTATCCATTATTATTATATTATTAATATATTAATTTAAGATTATTAATTACGGTCATCTTAACTACCCACAGCAATTAAACCTCACAATTTACCAAATGCTATTATACTGCTTTTGGAATCAGCAACACTTGTATAATTACAGTTTTTCAAAATCTGCAGCACTACCAAACTGGCCCATAGTCATGCATGACTTGAGGAGGAAATTTTGCATTGCTTCTTGTTATTTCTTAAGAAATGTTGAGTTATAGGGAAGAAAGATTGGAATTTTGCAGCTTCTGTGGAGACAGGGGCTATACAGTTTTTACCTGAATTGTCTTATTTCTACTTCATATTATGTAAAACAGTCATCTATCCTTAACTGAGGAAGTAAGTACCTGAAATTACGTGATTATTCCTCCACATTACTGAGGAAGTATGCACCTGAAATTACGTGATTATCCCTCCATATGACTTGATCTTTTTTGGTGTCTGCAGATTGTTTATGTTCTGTCTGTGTACAACAAGAAGGAGAAATACCAACCGATTAGGGTACGTTGTTTGTTCCCCTCAGGAAAATGAATATACAAGTGCTGATGTTCCCGTGCTGTTCTGTGCACAATTAGGAAAATACAATCAATAAATTGCTATGTTTAATTGAACCGTCTCATTAGCTCTTGTGACAGTATTTGTCAACCTTTTGGCTTTAATGTGTGAGAATTTGTGAACCTTTTGGCTTTAATGCCGAAGGAATTGGAATTATTTGGTCTTACACCACGGTGGACTCTTGACTAGAAGATGATACTTTTGGAAATCACTTACATAGTTCATTAGGATTCAAGGCCTTGTAATGAGATTGGCCGATGGTTTGGTAGAATTTATCATTTGAATTTTTGATAAAAGACATGAGAAAATATATTTTTGTTAGGATGTCTGGAGAAAGTACAAACAGGGAGAAAAGGAGAGTAATATCCTCCAAGAGGCAAAATGAAAGGAGGGAAAAGTATGACCATAAATTACCGGGAATTCCCTTTGAACTAAGATGAATTAATACTAACAATGAAAGCTGAACACTATATCAGGTTCAAAACGATCCGTACCGTTTCTGTTTAATCGTTTAAGGGCTTTAAGATCAATCTTTACAACTATTCTGTCACTTTAATTTCTCGCGCATGTCTATCAGTGTGTCCAAAGTATGTAGGTTTTCATAATCCGTGAGTCATAAAATAAATTTTTGGTAACATCCTCTGCGAAAGTTCTCTATAGTTCCTGTTATTTAAACTAAAATATGTCTGTACACAGATTTTAGTTTGCCAGATTCGTTTACTTGAAGTTTACTTTTTTTTTTTGGTCGGAACTAGCACAAGCACAAAACCCGAGATGAGAAATATTGAGATATGGGTAACAGAGTCATAACACTGGCTTTATGCTGGCAAATTTTAGCGAGATTCAAGAAAAGCCAGGAATGGCATTGATCTGCCTATCTTGTCTTATTCATATGATATTCTTGTTCTAAACTCGTAATTGCTAAAGTTATGATGTCAAAAATCGCTTTTGAAGAATACATTTCTGAGTTTCCTGTCTTCTTGTGCAGATGGCAGCATTTAATATCCAAGAGGCACTAAACTGGAAGGAAAAAATTGAACTTATAATTGATCAGGTAATACTTTCTTGATCCATTCTATGTCATTTGTCTCTCCTAAACTCATCGTTTATGCGCTTGGTACAACATAGAAATTAGGTTTTATCTTAGGTGGTTGTATATTTAGCTTTTAGGTATTTCTTTTCTTCATACTTCTCTTCTCTCCTCTCTTCTCTTCTCTCTCCCTCCCTCCCTCCCTCTCGGGTCCAATTAACTGTGTTCTTCTAATGCATACATTCCTGCCAGGCACCAATTCACATATATGTCTGTGTATATCGAACAGTGATAGAAGCTGTACAACACAATCTTTGATTGACTTTTTGTTACGCTGATGATGAGGCAGGATTCAGCTCCACCATCACCCTCTGGTAATCGGATGAGTTTTGCCAGTGATCGGTTTAGCATCTTCAGTGATGATATTGAGGACTGATTGAACAAGTTCAGGTTCGTTCTATCCCTAGTTAAGAGAGAGTCTTTGGCACTTTTACATTCTTCTTATATATTATATTTATACTTTCACTTTGAAAATCTTGTTTTGTTTTCTTGATTGATATTTATTAATTCCCAGGGTTATATCTATCCTTTTTGGTTTCATAACCTTTTCATATTATAAGAAGTTACTTTTCCAATTTGGGAAAAAAGTTGGAAATTCCACATCCTTCCTATTCAAACTGGCATCAGCACTTGGAATATTGCCACTTAATTCTTCTCCCTTGATTAGTCATGAAATGTCATTCTTGTGTCTTGCTGTTTTGGAGAAAAAGCTTTGAAATGGTATTAACCTTATACTTATTAGATCTTGTTTAATATTTAAGAGGATTAAAATCTTTGTTCTTATCACTCCTGCTTTAAATATGTTCGTAATTATTCGTCTCTGTGGTCTTAAGTGCAGTGCAGTGGCTACAGATCACTA